TTCTCTTCTAACAGGGCCACATTGGCACGACTGCAACCAAAATAATTGACGTCTACCTCCCGCTTCACGCGAACCAGGATAAGTTGCAACCCATGACGGTCGTGACGATCGCCAACGCTAAGGTGCATGACTTGATAGGACTCATCTGCTGGCAGTACACAAGCGAAGGACGAGAACCCAAACTCAAGTAGGCTTCCTTCCTTCCTTCCCCTCATCTCTCCCCTTCCTTCCTTCCTTCCTTCCTTCCTTCCTTCCTTCCTTCCTTCCTTGTCCTCTTCAGAGTTGCCTCCTGGAGGTCAGGAGAAGACCCTCCACTCGGAATCTGCTCTTTCATATGAAAGCTACAATCACTGAAGCCTGTCACCCTGGGAGTGAGGCATCCACTTCGGGCAGCAGCTAGGGGAGGCAGCAGGGACCCCCACCCCTGCCATTACTCTTGGTTGGAGGCCCCAGCTGTGGGTGCTAAAGGGGCTGCCCCTCCTCAATGAAGCTGGTCTCCATTCAGAGGCAGTGGAAGATGATGCCATCAGGTCATATCCCATTTACAGCAACCCTAATAAAGATATCAAAATAAGACAGGAAATTAAAGAGTGGTTTTACTTACGACACCACCAACCCAGTGAGTTTCCATGGCTCAGCGGAGATTTGAACCCAGGTATCCTGAGTCCCAGTTTGTCACTCTGTCCACACCACAACCCTAAGGATGAAGTCAAATTCAGTTCCCAACCCAGATGGCTTCTGCAAGGGGACTAGGAGGGGACCACCTCTCGTCCTTAGGCAGCAACATGGTTTGAGATGGCCGAGAACCACAGCAACTCATGCCAGAATCTCGCTCAGATCTCTACTGAGCCATAAAACTCACCCGGTGACTTTGGTCTTGACTAGGGCTACATACAAAGGGTTGCCAGTTTTTATGATACGAAGGTTGGCATGTTCCTGGGTGCTTGGTTTTACTTACGACACCACCAACCCAGTGAGTTTCCATGGCTCAGCGGAGGTTTGAACCCAGGTATCCTGAGTCCCAGTTTGTCACTCTGTCCACACCACCACCCTAAGGATGAAGTCAAATTCAGTTCCCAACCCAGGTGGCTTCTGCAAGGGGACTAGGAGGGGACTCCCTCTTGTCCTTAGGAAGCAACATGGTTTGAGATGGCCCTGGGCGAGAACCACAGCAACTCATACCCAGAATCTCGTTCAGATCTCTACTGAGCCATAAAACTCACCCGGTGACTTTGGCCTTGACTAGGGCTACATACAATGGGTTGCCCGTTTTTATGATACGAAGGTTGCCATGTTCCTGGGTGTAGGAGGGGACTCCCTCTTGTCCTTAGGAAGCAACATGGTTTGAGATGGCCCTGGGCGAGAACCACAGCAACTCATACCCAGAATCTCGTTCAGATCTCTACTGAGCCATAAAACTCACCCGGTGACTTTGGCCTTGACTAGGGCTACATACAATGGGTTGCCCGTTTTTATGATACGAAGGTTGCCATGTTCCTGGGTGCTTCTATGTAAAAAGGTAAAGGTTCCCCTTGACAATTTTTGTCCAGTCTTTTTCGACTCTAGGGAGCGGTGCTCATCCCCGTTTCCAAGCCATAGAGCCAGCGTTTTGTCCGAAGACAATCTTCCGTGGTCACATGGCCAGTGCGACTTAGACACGGAACGCTGTTACCTTCCCACCGAGGTGGTCCCTATTTATCTACTTGCATTTGCATGCTTTCGAACCACTAGGTTGGCGGGAGCTGGGACAAGCGACGGGCGCTCACTCCATCGCGTGGATTCGATCTTACGACTGCTTGGTCTTCTGACCCTGCAGCACAGAGGCTTCTGCGGTTTAGCCCGCAGCGCCACCACGTCCCTACCCTGGGTACTTCTGCTCCCAACCAAAGCCAAGGCTGTGCCTTTTGATAAAAGGTGGCAAAGTCTTCATCAAGTGGCTGGCGTCCCTTGGGGGGATGGAACGAAAGAAAAAAAGATTGCCTCTACATCCCTAGGGGCGAAATCAGAGACAACACATCGCCAGATAGTTTCATACAGGCACGGTTTCCTCCTTGGGACTTTGCTGAAAGTGCAGAAGCTGAAGCCTCCACACACAACCCAAATAATTTTGCCCTTTCCCCTTTCTAACCCACCCCTTCCAAAGCACTGCAGTGTCCAGCCTGAAGAAGCGTCATGCAGGATCAGAAAGCCTGCTTGTTTTGCTTTGTTTCCTACATTTTAGTAGTCCAATAAATCCACTTTTTAAAAATTTGCTGCATGATCCACTTTTTAAAATTTAGAGCTC